TCTTTTCTATCACCCAAGACATGAGTGCCTTTTTAAATTAGGAAAATTTTAGCTACTTTAATAACAGGCTATTTTTAGACATAATACTTAATTATATACATAATATTAATGAAAACATTAGTGTAATTGTACCTCAGTTTTGAAGTCACAGTTTTATACATTTTACAGAAGGGGGAGAAAACATACAATTGCTTTTTTTTTTTAATAAACAGTGGTTTAATGAACAATTTATGGCGCTGCCTTTAAATAAACTCAATTATAATTACAATTTTCTTAAGGATAAAAAATCTATCTTAGCTAATGCTATACAATAGGGAGCCCTATTAGAGCACATTTCTGAAATATTAAAGGCTGCATTTAACAACAGAGCCCAATCTATTAAATTCAATTTCTATTTATTTTTAGAAACCAAAAAAAAAAAAAAAAAAAATGTATGCAAACATATAAACTGCACATTTGCACATTGCAATTTTCTAGCAACAAGCTGCGGACACTGAATGACTTGCCCGCAGTAAAGGTAATGCTGTTTTAATGCTGATATTACATGACATGAGCATGTTTATTTCGCGTTATAACCAGTTGTAGTAGAAAAGAGATGATATTTGTCATCTTTTTCTCTGTCGTTTAATTACTGTCGTCCTTATTGTCGTTTTGTTCTGTCGTCTTGTTCTGTCGTCCTAACTGTTGTCTTGTTCTGTCGTCCTAACTGTCATCTTATTCCGTCGTCCTAACTGTCATCCTGTTGTGTCGTCCTAACTGTCATCCTGTTGTGTCGTCCTAACTGTCGTCCTGTTCTGTCGTTCTAACTGTCATCTTATTCTGCCGTCTGTACTGTCGTCTTGTTCTGTCATTATAACGTTAATCAGCACAGTAAAGTTAGTTTCACATTTCATAGTTGACTAGGCTGCTTTAGGAACCGTCTGCAAATTTACCTCACAGTACAAAACGAAGTACAATAATTCATTCAAATTAATGTTCACAGGACTATAGTAAATGCCTAGTGGCAAACTGACTAAATATATTTTGCCAATGTCTCGCCTTAGACAATACTTCCAACATCTCCCTTACAGTCTGTACAGTACACAAATATTTTCATGAAAAAATTAGGCTACTGTATTTTTTGTCTTCATGTTACAAAGGTTGTAGGTTGTAGAAGACTGACTTATTACAGGTGAAATTTTGCCAATACCTGCTTTACTGGATGTACAGTGCACAAATATGTTTAGAAAAAAAACTACTGTAATTCACCAAAAAGGCTTTTTCATGTTCCAAAGGTTGTAGTATGTTCCTAGATACAAGACTGACTTACTACGTGTGAGATTTTGCCAATACCTCCCGTCATATATGTACAGTACACAATTATTTTCATAAAAATTACTGTAGTACAACCTTTGGAACATGAAACAAAACAAAAAAACCTATTGGTAAATTACTAGTGGGCAAAACTCACTGTGAATGACTGTAGGTTTAAAAAAAAAAATATTTGTGTACTGTACATACAGTAAGGGAGGTATTAGCAAAATCTCACTTGTAGTAAGTCAGTCTTGTAACTAAGAGTGTACTACAACCTTTGGAAAATAAACAAACCCTTTTGATAAATTACAGTAATTTTTTTCTAAAAATATTTGTGTACTGCATATACAGTAAAGGAGATATTGGCAAAATATCACCTGTAGTAAGCCAGTCTCATAACTAGGAATGTACTACAACCTTTGGAAAAAACCTATTGATAAATTACTATATTTAAAAATATATATATATTGTGTACTGTACATACAGTAAAGGAGGTATGAGCAAAATTTCACAAATCACAAGTCAGTCTTGTAACTGCAAATGTACTACAACCTACAAAAAAACTTTGCATACAGTAAATTTTCCATTTGAACTTTTAACAACCAGTTTAAATAAATTTACTTGCACAAACTAGCCAATTTAAAATAAATATTACATGTACACAAAAGTTTGGGGTCAGTAAGATTTTGTAGTATTTTTTTAAGTCTCATGCTCACCAAGTCTGCACTTATTTGAAGAAGGGGGGGGGACAGTAAAAGCAGCAATATTGAGAAATATAAAAATAACTATTTTCTATTTTAATATATTTTATGTCATGTAATTTATGTAATGTAATGTAAATGTAAATGTAATTTAAAATGTATCTGTGATCAAAGCTGAATTTTCAGCATCATTACTCCAGTCTTCAGTGTCACATGATCCTTCAGAAGTCATTCTAATATCATTTGCTGCTCAAGAAACATTTATTATTATTGCTGCTTCATATTTGTGTGGAAACCGTTATGCATTTTTCAGAATTAATTTTATGTATAGTAACAATGTTATGTAGGCTAATGTAATAATGTGGCAATGGTTTCTTAAGATCTACTTATGCTTCTGATGCTTTTGGGAAACGCAGCCCTAAAAACAAGCACTGTGAGCCATGCGTCAGCAGCGAACGCTGTCTGTGATTGATTAGTTCTGTCTTTCAGTATTTGCGTGTGTTCCGATGGGCAGGAGAAATGGTTCTATCCAACACAATTATTCGCTAATATAGTCTATTTTTCCACCTAGAAGCTTATTTTATGCACCGAATTTCTTGATAAGTAAATAAAATTAATGTTTTAAAAATGCACTTTAGAATCGATATTTTTATGTGAGGATCGAACCTTTCGATAGAACATCAGTATCGAAAGTATCAATACTTAAGGATCGATCCGCCCATCCCTAGTGCGCACGGATTATGAATTTGTGGGTACGGATTCAAAAACCGAAGGTACGGTTTACAAAATCTGAGCGCACGGATTGGAAATTGGTGAGTACGGTTTATTAATCCACGGGCACGATTTGTTAAACCGAGGGAACAGTTTAAGAATTCGTGAGTACGGTTAATAAACTGAGGGGACGGATTGCAAAACCGTCGCCACGGATTGTTTTTTTTTTTGTCCTACAGGTGACTTCCCGGGCTCCGTAGTAAACCCTGTTAAATAGATTTTGCTCCGGTTTTTAAATTAATTAAGTTACAGTCTCCCTTTATTTTTATTGTCAGTGTTAATAAAATTGTCAATAACAATAAGACAGCTGTGTTATAAGAAGACGAGCTTCGCGACATAAGTGTGAATTTTAATTTCAATTAAGCGCGCGCTGTTGTTTGTTAACGGTATTTTAACGATAGGCGCCGATTCAAATAAAAGCGAACCGGGTGGAAGGCGGAAGGGTATGGTAATGTGCATGTTTTGTCGCAGTTTCACACATATTCAGTTTGCGTGAGTATTTTCCCCAGTTAACAGGAGTAGAAGTTCTTAACTTTGGCCCGCTAGGTCCACTTTCGTGCAGTTTTAGCTCCAACCCTGATCAACCTTACTTTTGCCACTGGCTTCAAAATATAAACTTCATTGATGCAAAATAAAGTTTCAGAGGCACACATGAAAATGTATAAATGTTCATTTTGTGATGTTGAGAAGTTTCAACTCACGAAGTATCTAATCTCACCTGCAAGTGCAACATTAAACATTAACACCAAGCAGATTTTTGTGTTACCTGTAACATTGAGAGATATTTTATATTACAGAGTGCAGTCTTCTAGGTAAATATATTGTACGTCTGTGGTATGTCTCTCTCTTATTTATCAATTATTTATTCTTTGGAATATGAACTTTTTATTTTATTTTTTATTTCTTACAGAGCAGCATATTGATGGGGAGACTCTGCTGGGTCTCACAGAAAGGATGGTGGAAAGACTTTTCCTGTAATGAAACATCTGGTGACATTTATAAAGAAGCTTAATTTTAAAAAGTGTTGTTAAATATTGAACATTGTTGTTAAATATTTAAAAAATGTATGCCAACCAAGCTTAAAATCCTTATCTTAATTTATATTAAATTTTTCTTCAAACAGCCTGGAAACTGACGAGCCTCAGATATCTTGTACTTCAGTATGTATCATTGTTTTGAAGTCCAAACAGGACTTGTATTGTGGCAAGTAAAATGAATATCTTGTATAAAAGACTTCAACATTGTAGACCAAGGATTTAGACTTTTTTATGTGATGGCCATTTAAATAATAGGGTTATGTCTGGTTTCAGAATTTGTAGTGGGTCAATAGGCTATATACAGAAAAAAAGAGGCCAAAATTGTACTTTTGGGGTACAACAGCTTGTCACTGGAGCAGTACCCTTAAAAAGGACGTATTTTTGCCTTTTACCCCTAATAGGTAAATATTACCTTATGTGTACGAATTACTATAAGGTACTAGGGTAGGTACAAAGATGTTCTTTTAAGGGTACTGCTCCAGTGACAATGTTGTATCCCAAAAGGTTCCATTTTGGCCTCTTTTTTTCTGTGTGGCCGGGATGAGTGTTAGATTTCCCAGCCTGAAATTGCGTCCCAGTCCGGCCCTGGAGTCATCTAAGTAAACTGAATATATTAAGAGAAATAAGCTGTTATTTTTTATGCCCATTTGTTTAGGGTAAGACATCTCCTTGTTAATGGGCCTATTACTTTTTGTTAATTCAATAAAAAGGTGCCTCATGATGTGACTTTCATACATGTCACACAGTTAATGTTGTTTGAGTATGCTAATTTACTTGAAGTCAATTAATAATATCTTGCTAGCCCTTTTAAGCCCATTTTCTGAACAGGACAGTCACATTTTTAGTAAACCTTTTGAAATGTAGCCTAACCTTCCTGTATATATTAAAACAATGCACATAACATGTGAATATAGAATAATAATATAGCATGGACACTAGGTACATTTGTGCAGCATCAGCTAACATTATACTCTGGAAAATCCAAGAAAATTTGTGGATTATATGAGGGCACTGCCTGTGCTACCTCACTTTATCAACATATCATTGTGGAATAATTGCAAATTGTTTTGTAAGCATGCATGAGCAGATGCTTCTTTTTTAATTAACTTTATTTAATGTGTGTAATTGAGATAATTATTAAAAATTGTATTAACTATTAGTTACATTTTTGTTTACGTAATGTATGAGTGACAGAGGATTAAAGCCCAATGCTCAATGTGCTTTATCTGCAAGGTAGACAGTAATATTAACAAATTTCTAGTGTATTAGCTAGCTACTCAGCTGCAGTTGATTAAAGCTAACACTAGTAGTAGTACAAAAGTGTCATGATGAGCAACAGCAAGCAAGCTAACTATTGTTAGTACTGTTATAAATAAAATATTTACAGATTTATCTTTAATCATTGTAAGTAGAGAATATATTAAAGATATTTTTGATATGATATATAATTCTCCTAACTTTTAGGACAATCAGTTGACAATCAATCTCACTTGAGAAATTGTGATATTACATATCATTATTGAGATTTATATAAAAATGACCTATTTAATAACTTTGATCTGTATAGGACAATATAAAAAATATGTATATGAAAAGTCTGTAATGTAAAAACATTCATATGGATGCACTTGGAAAACAGATCCACTTCCAGAAACTGAATCTGTATCAATACTGTTATTTTATCAATTAACAAAAGATCAAGAACTTATGTCCAAACCTTTGTACTGCTTGTAAAATAGTATTTAACTTCCTTATCATGTGTTCATAAACTGAACATACTGCGACAGTACAGATTTTTATTATATTACAGTATTTTGTAATAATACATTTATCTGAGTGTTTTATTACAACAAAGAATGTTGCATTATAACTAAATAAACTGTTACAACTAAAAACACAGGTAGGATTTTACTATACTTTTACTTTTTATGGACTATTCTGTAGTCACCAAACTCCAGCACAGCAGTTTCTTCCAAATTTCTAAAGATATACACCAAAATGATACAGCAGTATCAAAAGAGCATCACTCCCACTACCATAAAATAGGAAAACAAAGCTCTCTATTAATTTCAGTTACAACTCCAGAAAATCTCATGGAGGTCAGGCAGCTGAAGAATGGTAACAGCATGGTCTGGCTGGTCTGCAGAGAAATATGGAATTCAATACAAATTACAACTTGATCTGCTAATAATTGTTCAAAGCAGTGCAATATTGTGATAATGCTCTATATATAATTGTCTGTTTTGGGCATCCTTAAATAAGTCCTGCTGTATAGAGGGATGCTTTAAGAACTGGCTAAATTCTACAAGCATTCCTCAGTGTTCGCCAGGTGATACGTTTCCCTCATCTTCATCCTCGGCCATGCCCTTCAAGTTGGTGCGCTTAAACTCCTCGAAAACCACTTCATCCTCCAGTTCACTACATGCAGACACACATTCACATAAAAGGACAAGAAGCAGATAAATTGCACATATATTCTTGAGGCTACATAAAAAAATAAATATAAAAATCTAAAATAAAAGAGATGTAAAATGTAGAAACTAAATTTTTGAACATGCAAAAAAGCCACACTTGTACTGTTTGCAGTAAAAAATATGTATCAACCTCAAATTTGGAACACAACTTAGATTCATGGCTTTGGTTTATATATATATATATGTAAACGTATTTCTGTGCATTTTTCATAATAATAAACTTAAACTTCTATAACTTTTTTTAGTTGTACTTTTTTAGCTTTTAACTTTAATGTATTTTTCTTTTTTCACTTCAGCAGCTGCCAAGTGCCTCCTTTAAAAAGAGATCAAACGTAAGTCTGTGCTCCAAAACATTCCAGATTTACAACAATTTAAGTTTTCACATCTACGCTCAAAAAATGGTTTACAGGTAATAAATGGATAATAACTATTGCATTAATATAATTTCATACTATAAAATCCACTAAAAGGCAAAATGTTAGATAAAAAACATTATCAAAATAAAATATAGTACATTAATTTCACTAAACAAAAAAATCTGTCATTTTTTTGACTACTATACAAGCAGCACCAGGGTAAATCTTGTCTGAAGTTTGCTATTCTTAGTTCATCAAGCTGGCTTGTTGTGATGGTTTTAGAGAGGTTTTGGACACTTGAAGGGAGATAAGCTAAATCATCATCTTATGCAGATTTAAAGGGGTCATATGATGCGATTTCATTTTTTCCTTTCTCTTTGGAGTGTTACAAGCTCTTGGTGCATAAAGAAGATCTGTAAAGTTGCAAAGACTAAAGTCTCAAATCCAAAGAGATATTCTTTATAAAAGTTAAGAGTCAACCACGCCTACCTAAAACGGCTTGTTTGTTTCCTGATCCTGGTAGAGTAGACTACAATGCCGGCTGTTCTGACTCACAGACTGTAAGTAAGTTTTTTATATTTGAAGAATTTGCCACTGACGATTTAAATGCGAGTTTTGAGCAGTGTAGAGTAGCACTTGTTGTTTGTCATTTCTCCGATCACAAATGCAAACATGATTTTATGTTTACGCTGCGCGATGCAACGCAACGCGTAAAAAGACCATATAAGTCATTATAATCCATAATTATGTCCCCACTGGATGCAACAAATGCCTCGTTTATAATGGGTTTTAATGTGTTTTGGGCAGTGTAGAGTAGCACTTGTTGTTTGTCATTTCTCTGATCACAAATGCAGACATGGTTTTATGTTTACGCGGCACAATACAACGCAACGTGTAAAAAGACAGTATAAGTCATTATAATCCGTAATTATGTCCCCACCTGATGCAGCAAATGCCTCATTTATAATGGGGTTTAATGTTTATGTTTCGTCGCTCCGGCCGGACAGGGCATCACAATATGGTAAGGGGCGTAACATTTCCGTCACATGTTTGAGGTATTCGGCCAATCCCAACGCTCTGGATAGCTGGCCAATCAGAGCACACCTCACTTTTCAGACTGATGAGCTTTGTAAAAATCGACGCGTTTCAGAAAGGCGGGGCATAGAGGAGAAATAATAATGTACAGTATGTGGAAAATACTGTGTTTTTTTAACCTTAAACCACATAAACACATTTCATTACACCAAATACACAAAATAATGTTATTTTTAGCAGCATCATATGACCCCTTTAAGCTGTTAATTTAAGCAAAGATAGAGAAGCAAGGCATGATGGAAAAATACATTACTATTAACTTTTAAAATGCTGACTGACCTTTCTTTCACTTCAAGAGGCATTAAAGAGGAAACATTTTAAAAGAGTTTATACAAAATTGTATGTGAACCAGAAAATATTTAAGAGACAGATAATATATAATAGGCATAAGGTATATAGTCTAATACCTGTGTCAGGCTTCGGGTGCATAAGCTGGAAAGGGAGCTCCACCCCAACTTCACTGATATGTAAAAACACAAAACATATATATACTATAGCTGAGTCCACAAGTCTGAGGCTACTAGCAAAAATATATTTATTAGATTTAAATTAGATTTTAATCTCAGACTTTCAATTTGGTCTCAGACTTTTGGATACTATATATGTAGATCAGTGGTGTGCAGTGGTGTTCTGAAATGAGGAGGCAAAAAGTTTTAAAAGTGTAGTCACATTTTCTTAGTTAAATAAATATTACTTACACTATCAGAATTTTTTTTTCTATATTTTTACATTAACAATGCAATGAAAATTCTATTTATTAAAGACATGTATGAATCTCATCAAGTTAGTGTTTTTAGGCATTTTACATTTATTCCAAAATAATAACTCAAGGCAGTAATAATTTAAGCAATATATTTTATCTGTGAACTTATGTTCAGTCATTCTTTTTAATAATTAACTTTTAACTATGTTTTAATTGTTTGGATCATCAAGCTCGTTAAATATTGGTCACAGACACGGAGATTTAGCCTACTTCAAATTTAACCAAGCTGATTACTCAAAAACTCCAGTAGCCCCTCACTGCAGAACAAAAGATCCAGGGGTCGTGGTTGGATCCGCATCTAGGGGGTGGAGATTGGTAGGTTTAGGGGTGGAAATGGGTAGGTTTAGGGGTGGAGATGGGTGGGTTTAGGGATCAGGGGGTGGAGTTTAGGTATATGTAAGGTGGGAGGAATTGGATCTGGATCCAACCACGCCCCCTGGATCTTGTGTTCTGCAGTGAGGACTGCAGAACACAAAAACTCCCACAGATCATGTTTTCAGCCCATTTGAAGTCTTATTTTCACATAAACAACATGGTTATATCTAAGTGTGTGAGCTGTTTATTTACTTTTTTAAATTAGTCTTCCCATTATCACAATTTGATTGTTTATTCAGACTGATTCGCGAACGGACCTTCCCGAAAACTCTCCTCCGGATTCACAAACGCTTAGTAAACGTCCGATTTAATAGTTAAACATGCGTATGTTAATTAATTCCAATCTTTCGTAAAAGGGGCGCACGTGCACGCTCATTAACAATTAGCATAATCCCGCCTATGAATTACAGCTACGTAAATTGCGTGTCTAGGAACGCAGTGTAATATTCTGGTCTTCTTTCTCAGGTTTGGCCCCAGTATATTGCATAAATGCAAAAAAGACTAATAGGCCATATGCTTAACAATAAATATTCAATAAAGTGTGTCCACCAAAGAGTTTTTAGCCAGCTGAAAAAATGTCAGGTGCTCTTCTTAAAACGACCAGCTGGTGGCGCTTGAGAACACTTTGGTGGCACAGCGTTTTTCCAGCTGAGACGCTTCAGTTGCTATGATTTGGAATATCCACGGCGGCGACAACATATTACTACTAGTATATCATTTTTAAGAATTTTACTAAATATAAAAAAGCAGTAACCAGTAATATTGTTGGTTATAATTCTTCATTGTTGTAGGCAGTCGTTGTACAAGCAGGATGGTTGGTCACTATTTGTTCCACCCGTCCTCTATTTACGGCTGGGTAAATAGTGACAGTGACGAGCGCTGCGTTTTAGTTATCAGCTCCAAAAAAATATTTCCAAAAAAATTTCAAAAAGAGGGCAATGGCAAATTAACTTGTAATTATTATGGCAGTGCATCAAAATTCAGTGTCCTTAGTTTGCCAAAAAGAACACGTTTTACGCACCATTTACACCTGGTAAGGAGCAGGTGTACATTTCTTTCGTACCAACTAACATTTTGAAAATACGAACATTTTCATGAATTCGAAGATTTACGTCAGAACAGCTTTACGAACGGTTTACACAAAAATTCGTTCTGCTCGTGTTTCATGAATGAGGCCCATTGTCAGTAATTCCACCAATAAAAATAAAGTCCTAGGAGAACTGTTGTGCATCTCTGATCTGTTTCATTAATGAATCCACGTTTTTAAATGAATCGACGGAATCAATGATTCAGTGAACCATTCATTAAGTCAGTCACTTGCTTTGCTTTTGAATGAATCAGCCATTTGAACGAATCAATTGAATGAATGACAGGGATTTGCCACCACCTATTGGCGCTTTTAGTTTTATATTTAGAGTATAGTTTCTTTTTAAAAATAAGTTAATATTTCACTATTTATTTGTATTTTTGTGTGTTGAATTGAAATATTTATTTCTAAAGCTACTTATATTTCAGCTACTTTTTTGTAATGTCTATTCAGTGTTTTTTTCTAAATTATCACAATGATAACTATTATCTTTAATAATAACTATCTTTAATAGGCACATGATGCGCATGTTAATTCATTAATCTCATTAATTTGAGATTGATTTGATTAATGAATCGGCACATTATGTAATTAATGACAGCCCTATTTAAAACATAAGACATAAAAAAAGCTTCATTGATATGCAGGGCCATCGGTAACAGGGAGAAAGGTGGTGACGATTTCAACCGCAGGCCCTTCTGAATCCAAGATTAAAGAAATAACATTTACCTGGATCCCATAATTCTATGAAAGAGAAGCACAAAATATTAGGATGTATATATTAGGCATGTATGGTTTTATGCTATATACTGTAGTAGTATATTGTGTCATGGGATGCTAACCCTCCAACAATAAGCTTCACAACAATTCTGTAAGACACCAAGATCCCCAAAACTTCCTTCAGAACACCTTCTTTGATGCTGCAATAAAGCATTTGAACATTGTAAACATTGTTGTTTAAGCAGGCCTATATAAACATTCTATAATGTACTCAAAGCCCAGTAAACTAAAACAGCTCTCATTATATACACGCCAATGTTTTCCATGGGGACTCACATGCTTGAAGAGGCTAAATTGGTGTCTTCATGCTTCAATTTTCCATCTAGTGCAATGCCTAGCCTTTCTCTGTTATTGGCCAGTAGGGGGAGCAAAGTGTAGACTTTATCCAGTTTGGCACCAGAATCAACAGAGTCCCTGCACCAAATAGCAACCTTTAATCAGATTAACATTCATTTTTTAAAATGGAATTACATCAAAATTTCTGAATAAAACTATTACCCAGAGTCCTCTGTGGCCACTGCCTTCATATAACTGTCATTGGAGTACAGCACCACACTGGCAATTTGTTCCACTAAAAGACAGACATCCACAAGTGTGTTATTTTATATTTAAAGCAATCCACTTAAAGTAGGACTTTAATAGACCAACATTTTTTCAATAAATTAGTTCATTCAGATTTCAATCAGATAATGCAGATAATCTATTAATTTACATTATTACATACACAGTCACACACACATGCAACTCTACTGACATGTTTTGAATTGGGGTAGGGGTAAAAAATATTAGGGTAGAACAACCATGCTGATATCATCAAAGGGGTCATATGATGCTATTTTAAAGATCATTATTTTGTGTATTTGGTGTAACAGAATATGTTGACATGCTTTAATGTTAAAAAAACACATGATTTTTCAAATACTGGACATTATTGTAGGTCCTCTGTGACCCGCCTCTCTCAAAC